CCAAAATACAAATTAAAAGTGCACCTTTCCCCATCCTTCACCTGCGCAACAGTTGCTCAACCCTGCACTAAGGTCTAAACCATGTTAAGGGCTTTTTTTTTAAGGACCTACTTTCTCATGGCTCCATTTTTAAACAGATACCCCTATTGTATTGGACATGAAAGCTTCCTGCCCTTAGCCTCTTCTATGTAACTTAGTGCACAACCTTGCTCACAACTTCCAGAAACACAGGGGCTATGCTTTACACATATGGGTAATCACCTGCTTTAGATTCCCATTGGCAAATGCAACATTTTTTTACACAGTAACTACTAAACTGGAAGAGAGTGGGGAGGCCTAATGCTTTCGCTATCTGTTTTACTAGCCACCCCTTGTAAAGACTGTCAGATCTGCAGACTCTACTGCAGTTTCTCTCAATCTCAGCAAATTTGAGGTGTGTGGACTTCAACTCCCAGAATTCCCCAGCCAGCATTGTATCTCAAAGTTGCTGAAGCTGTGAGGCACTGCTCTAGTGGCTCTCAGCCTCAAGCATTACCTCTGAGTAATTTTGCCAGCAGATTCAGATCAATCCTTTAGTATTTTTTCTATGCCTCTGCCATTCCTGTCACTTGCTACAGCCACAGGCCTGACCCTGCCTTGTGACCCAACACGTACAAGCCATGAGAGGGCAGTAGAGTCCTGCAGAGACTGCCCTGTGGGAATGCAGGCTGCTTCTCCCTAATAGATGCGGGTGGTACTTTGCTCGCTAGTGTCAAACAGCTGACCTTGCTTGCTTTGTGACTTGCAGCATCACAATGACAAGTATTGCACCTATTAATTTGCTTGGCTTGAGTGCTGCCTTCCTTTCCCACCCCAGTTGAGTAATGGGCTCTGTAGCCCTTCCTTTTCTCTCTTTCTCTTTCAACCTCCAATTGCTGGGGTCACTGGGAGCAGGATCTGGAACAGTCAGCCTTGGAGGCTCGTGCACGAACAGAAGCACTGAGTTCGAATGTGCGTCTGGCCCAAGATGAAGCCATGAGAGCCAAAAACTATCTGGAGCGGACAAGGATCACCGTAGAGTGAGTAAAACAGAACCCCCCTTTACCCGCATGTTCTACAGGCCCTTGAGATGTTCTTGCAGAGGAAATTGTTGCCTGGGTCAGGGACATGCAGAAAGGCAGGAGTCTTAGGATCCTTTGGAAGTTACAACTCTCTTGCCTTAGCCCTCAACCCATCTTTTTTAAGGCTTTGCATCACAGTCCTGTGACGGAAGGCATGAGCAGGGAGGATTCTGCAATGGAGTTTCAAGGTTGCAGGGAGGGGGGAGAGACATTCCAATGTAAGCATCTCCTCAGCCCCCAGATGGACTGTGTGAAAGTAAAAAGGAGGAGACTGCCCCCCCCCCAAGGGCATGATGGTTATAGTTGCTATCATTGGGGATTAGAGTTAGTCTGGCGAGATTTCTGTCTATTAGGTGCACGCTAATAAAGAAGCTGAGCTGAATTCCGGACTGTCTCGTGGTGATTATTGGGCTGAACCTGACACCTGCCAACTATGTGCATCGTCCCTCCAAAGAAAAATTTTGTGTGGTTTCTAGCTAACAAAAGTTTGCCAATCCCTGATCTAAATAATCTCTAAATACCTTCCAATCTAATTGTTCTAAATCTGCAAAAGTCTAAAATAACCATTTTAAGATGAGCTGGGTGGGGAGAGGAATGCAGAAGAAACACACATTGTTGTTAGTAGCAGGAATAGTGCTTACTGGAAGCATATACAGGAGGACCATCAGTTCTGGACAAGTGCTACATGGCAGCAAATGATTAAGAGTTTTCTGTATGTCTTTGCTACTGTGTAATGGGCGTCCCAATTCTTTGCAGCTCAGTTCTGGTAGCCTAACATATACACATGATCTTTCAGGGTGGCTGGAATTTTTATTGGGAGTGTAGCCTGGGAGTAAAAAAAACAACTACCTTTTCATATACTTGGGTGCAAACATCCATATATACTCTGCTACAGCTATTAATAATAAAAAGCTGCAAGTCAGAGGTTCACAACCTGAGTTCCTAGAACCAATATTCCCTCTCCCCAAGGTCTTAGGTCCAGTCCCTACAGTTTCTCCTAAGGTGCCAACAATTCTTTTAATATTACAGGAGGGGATTTGTTCAATATTAAGTCATTGTCTGTAGAAACCCTAGTTTAATTAAATTAAATGGAGTGAAAACTAGTTAAGGCAGCCCCCAGAATGTGGACAGCTTAACCAAAGGAGAGCACATGAGGCTGGGTCAGAGGCTGAGTGACAGAACATTGGCTGAGATCAGCTTTCGTCAATCATGCATCCTCACTTGCTTTAGATTACTGTTTCCATTACACTGAGCTAGTGTGTCTGTTGGTCAGCCAAGGCAAAGAGGTTTTCTTACACAGCTTCTCTTTCCTTCTACCAGGGATAAAACTAACAGCCTGGATTATCTGCAGAACAAACTGAGCTCCCTCCACTCACAGCTGTCTCTGGTCTCCCAAGAAGGCGTGCCCCAGTCCCCAGCAAATGCCATAGCTGCTTCTGTCACCCTTAGCAAGCGGAGCTCTTGCCCTGCTGAGCTGAACCGTCACCCCCAGTAAGAGAGAGAGGTGGCCGTGGCCTGCTCTTCTTCCCCACTCACTGGAAACCAGAGGGCACTTTCAGCCTGGAGAAGGTCTTTCATCTGAACAGAGCGGCCCTCTTTCTGGTGTGTTTGGCTG